TTCACAGTGGACGTGATGGCCGGGTTCAGGAGGTCCTCGAAGAGCTCCTTCCACTGCCCGACAATGTCCCCAGTCTGGGTCACCCTCTCTGCTGAGCACGGCCTGAGACAAGCCCTGCTTTCCCTTCAGAGTCCATGTCCTCAACCTCCCCCGGGATGCACGAGAAATTCTCCTGGAGGTGGGAGTTGAAGACCCCATGGACAGGGTCCTCAGCCAGACGTTCCCAGTTCACCCTCACTACACGTTTGGGTTGGGTTTTTCCCTGAGGGCTTTCTACCAGAAAAGGATCTCTCAGTTAAGGTTAGGGAAGAAGTTGTGGTTTGGGTTTAAATGAATAGATTTATGTCAGAAAGGGCTTTCTTGGAGAAAACCTACAAGGAAAACTTGTCTAGCTGTCCAGCCTTCTTTTATTGGCCTTTGGCTTAAAGGATAACTTTGGCATTTTTTAACCTGGACCCTTTTTCCCCATGGTGGCAACAGAATATGGTGGCGACAGAATTCAAAGGCCTGAGCCACATTGTCGAAATCAGGTAAAATAATTATCCATGATATTGAAAATCTTTTAGAGAACACTAAAATACATTTTCTAGAAAATACTCTGGTGATAATACTCTCTCTAGAACATGTTTCCACTGTTGTTTTCCAGCAACAAGTGAAATCTTGTGACATGTCATTATATTTCAGAGAGAGACTTCTGCTTAACAAGGCAATAACAAACAGACTGGATCAAGTGAAAGATAGAGACACTTCAGAGACTTATGGTGACAATCTGAGCTGCTCTGTGTCAAAAATTACCACTTTTAATGCACATGCAGTGACGATGTTTAATTGCCCCATGTGCCTCCATTGCAGCTCGTTCTGTGGCTGCCAGCCGCTGCCAGGTCACTCAATACTGGAACAATTTAAAAAAAATGTTGTTCACATCAATTGCTTTGATCAATTTACACAAGGAAATAGAGTCCAGGTTGAAAAATGCCAGATTTATCCTTTAACCCACAAGTGGGTGGGATCTAACCAGAAGTTGTTACTTTAGGCCTACAGTTGATGTGGGTTGATCAGAAGTTGCTATATTTATTATTTATTAGAAAATGGTTTACAGAACAGCTGCAAAATTTGTCTTCAGATCATTTTAGATCACAAGTGTACTATTTAGCTACCCTGATGAGGATTTTCCTTCATTGCCAGTACAGATATTGACACATTTTAATCAGACACTGGTGCTCATAAAAAGACAATATGAAACCATGCAGGGGATGGATCAAAAACAATTACGGCAATTTAAAGTAATCAATCGATAACAGTTCCACACAGTGATGGTTTATAACAGAGAGAGGTGTTTCAACACAGCTGTCTTAATCCTATGATGTATCCCATGATGCATCATTCTCAGAGGGAATCTTGGGGCTTCACACTAATTCTTAGCCAAGTTGCCATCTGATGCTGCCTCATCTGCCAAGTGAACTCCTGGGATCTTTGTTATGTGTCTATACTTAGATTGGAAGCTATTCAATGCAACACTATATAGGCGCATATACATGCACAACAACTCACTGTTCAAGAGAGTGTGTGAGAGTCAGTAGATTGCATGTGAGGGAAAGATGGACTCCTTGTTTGTCAGTGTGATTGGTGCCTATATTGTGTGTAAGACATAGCCACAAATAATGAAGGTGTTGTACTAAGAGGTTCTTCTCCTTTGTCCTTGGTCACACTGTTCCCATAGATGAAAGCATGTGACTAAAGAAGCATCTTAGCAAAGTGCCAATCAAAGAGAATGATGGAGGACGGGGAAAGGAAGAAAATCAGGCACAGGGATGAAAAAGAATGATAGTAAGAATGGTTGAAAGAGGGAATGACGGAACACAGGAAAGAGGATTGTGAAAGTAAAGAAACAGGAGAGAAGATCTAAGGCATGGTGTTTGGGACTTTGCAGTCTGCTTGACACCATGATTCCTTTGAAATGTTACTGCACCTTTGCTCTTCAGTATTGAGACAATTCATCTCAATTTGCTTGGATGACAGTAGTGAAGCCAGACTCCCCCCTCCCTCTCATACTTCTTATCTTGATCTCTTTTTTCCCCCACACATCATTCTATTATTTTCCCCATACTATGGTTGTCTTTTCTTCTTTGATTGTATTTTTCAGTTTTGGTTTTGTCCTCATGTGAGTCAGCCCCCACTTTCAACTTATTCAGCAACCCTTTAATATACATGCTATGATACTGATCAACCCATTAATAAACATGCTTGTCAGGAATGAATATTGAATTTTTCTCAGTGGTAATTAGGAATAGAATTCCCCATAGAAATATTGCTGTGTCCAATACTGCACAGTTAAAGATATAGGCCCCAGTCACACAGACAGCATTTTAGCCTGCCATTTTTGCCGGACTGCTCTGAACTCCTCAAGTTGAAAAAATTTCAACTCAGAGTGTAAGAACACCCCACGTCATCTCTTTTTTCATCATCTTTTTTCCCCATGGTCCAGTTGGATGATTTCTGTAATGGTCACAGCAACAAGTTTACATTTGGTAAACAATGAAGGAGAAACAGGTGGTAGCAGTGGCCTCTGCCTGAGTGGATTGATGAAAAACACAGAATGCATAAGAACATGACTTCACCTTTATGCATGTAGGCATTCCACCTGCCTTTCTTTCAAATGCAGTTAATGGATTGTATGTCACGGTTGTGGTTTGAACACAATAGCAGCACCATAAACTGGTCAGTTTGTAAAAGTTGTTAGTGAGACCACTTGCAACACATAGAACAAACAGTGGGCAAGATTAACTCCTAGGCATAAGGCTTCCTGGGGCACAGGTTTAGTCCAGGAGCTTCGATGAGCCACGCTGAAGCAGAGAGCAGAAGAGTCTCTGGTGTCCACTGGATGCACAGAAACATCAAACAGTTCAGTAATGTGCAGCAGTAACGTGAGGGAGCAGACAGGAGACAACGTCAGAAGAGCAGCGGATCCAATACCAGGTGTACACAAGGAAAATCAACACACCTGTGAGGAGCCAAAGTTGGCTGGAACCAGCGAGGAGTCGAGGAACCAGTGGTGATGGTGAACAGATGCTGTGACTCACACACAAAGGCAGCGATGAGGTAATCCACAGCACAGGAATTGACAGGCAGCAGAACAGGTAAATTGAAGCTGACTGGCAGTCCCTCCACTCAGCCGCTGGGAACAGGTGAACAGAAACCAGAAACATGGAAGGGGAGCTCTTGGTCAAGGACAGAAGGCTGAGTGGCTTACCAGGGAGCAGGTGAAGCAGGAGAGTCAGAGGCAGGCGAGGTCAGCAACAAAAAGCAGTCTGGGAACACGCGCTTGACAGTCTTGTATAGGAATGTCAGAGAACAATCAATGTAAACAAGCAATGAGAGTCTGTGAAGCTGGAGTATTTATAGTTGTGGAGGCTGTAGATGGAGGTTTGAAAAAACTGCCTGCCAGAATCTGCAGGTCTGCAGTCAGTCAGGTTGATGTTGATGTGTGTGTGCTTTTCTCTAGCACTAGATGTGGAAATACCTGTTGGAAGAAGATGATGTAAATGTAAAGTAAACAGAGAGGTGGCTTTGACTTATAAGTCCAGGCATGTTGTTATTACACAGCTGTGATTGTCTATCTTACTTGAAAGGTTGTATTTATGAGTGCATCTGTGGTCCCTGGTCAGCAAAGGTCTTCAGGTGGCGAAAAGATAGGAGTCTGCAGTGGAGGTTGCTGGATTATGCTGTAGATGGAGGTTTGGCCAAGCTGTCTGCCAGAATCTGCAGGTGGAGATAGTGGCTGCAGGTTGCTGACAGAGGCCGTGGATGGAGGAGTGGAGCTGTCTGCCACAATCTGCAGGGGGAGGCAGCACTTGCATGTGGTCTCAAATGCTGTAGATGGAGGCTTGGCCGTAGCTGTCTGCCAGAATCTGCAGGTGGAGGCAACATCTGCAGGTTGCTCACAATGGCTGTAGATGGATGTTTGGCCAAGCTGTTGTTGGAGGTTTGACCTCAGCTGTCTGCCAGAATCTGCAGGTGGAGGCAGCAGCTGCTGATTGCTGGCAGAAGCTCTAGTTGGAGGTCTGGCCAAGCTCAGTGTCAGAATCTGCAGGTGTAGGCAGAGGCTGCAGGTTTGCTAGCAGATGCTCTAGATGGAGGCATGGCCACTGCTGCCTCCAAGAACCTGCAGGTGGAGGTGGTAGCTGCAGGTTGCTGTCAGAGGCTGTGGATTGAGGAGCTGATTCGTCTGCCTGTATCTGCAGGTGGAGGCGGTGGCTTGACGTTGCTGGCAGAGGCTGTTGATGGAGGAGCTGAGCTGTCTGTCACAATCTGCAGGTGGAGGCAGCGGCTGAAGGTTGCTGCATGATGCTGTAGATGGAGGTTTGGCCAAGCTGTCTGGCAGAATATGCAGGTGGAGCCGGTGGGTTCAGGTTTCTAACAAAGGCTGTAGATGGAGGAGTGGATCTTTCTGCCAGAATCTGGAACCTGCAGGTGGAGGCGGTGGCTGCTGGTTGCGGTCAAAGGCTGTGGATTGTGGAGCTGAGCTGTCTGCCAGAATCTGCAGGTGGAGGCGGTGGCTGCAGGTTTGCTGGCAGAGGCTGTGGAAGGAGATTTGGACAAGCTCTACTACCACGTGTAGCGCTGGGCTATCTGAAGGGAAAAACAAATCCAACCCTGAGAACATTTGTCCTTGTAGAAAAGTCATTACATCACATATTGAATTAGCCCATTAGCACACAGTCAACACTACTAACACTTAAGTGCATAGAATACAAGTAAATGTAAAATTTTCACTGCATCTAAATGGCAACCTCAGGACATTCAGTCACAATCTATTTTTGAAAACTAATTCAAATTATAGTCTGTTACTAATTGTGGTGAGGTGGAGGTGAAAGGATATAAAGCCAATACTGTTACCAAGAAAAGGGCTCGACAACGCCACCCTGGGAATTTCACCCAGGGAATTACTTCTTCAATACAAGACACACAGGTTCGTTTACTCAAAGGGGCATGAGACGTGGTTCCAAGTTTTAAAAAAAATAGACTTTTTATTAAACAATCATTTTTCTTTTAAAAAAACGTTCACACAGGGAGGGGGAAAGAACCTAATCAGGGCTGAGGCCTAGTGAGTGGACAAGGACTAGTGAAGGGGAAGGATCCACCAAAAAAAGAGAAACCAACTTAAATCACCAGGCACACGTGGCAGACACACTCAGTGAAGCAACCCACTCCCAGGAACACAGCGGACAAGACGGAAGGATGGATACCACCACCAAACACCAGCACCGCCACCACCGGCCTCCAGCAACTGAAAAGGAGAATGATAAAACAAATTAGTGGGGTTGCAATGAAACAAACAAAATCAATAAATCAAAATTTAACAAAAATTGTAATTAATGGGCAGATCACAAGTCTAAACTTAACAAAATGTAACAACTAATAACTGCCCAATTGAAATACTCAAATATAGACAAAGCAAAAAAGAAATTAAGGCTAAATAAAGAAAACAAACCCCAAACAATTATCCAATTACATATACAAAATCTCTCAAATTAACCTAATTAACAAATAAATTATACAAACAAACAAAATCAGGTTCAACCCAAACAATATAAAAATAAACAAGCTAATAGAATATAACCCACACTCTCACACACTCATTCACTCAAAAAGCGGGGGACCAAACCCCGGTTAAAAATAATGTCTCGGCCCGCGACGGGCGGACGAGCAACCGTCCTGCTCCGGACGTGAAACAGAGCAACAGTGCCTATGGCGGAAGCAGAGCTGCGGAGCGGCTTACGCCGGATTTCCACTGGATGCGTGTCCGTTGCGGAACGGCAGCGCTGGTTATCCGCTGCGTGCTCCGCCGTCCGTCAATACCCACCGGCTGCGTTTGCTGTGCGGTGCAGCTCCGCCGAAAGACATCTCGGTGCACTGCCATGATTAATATCTCCTCGTCCATGGTGTTCACGGGGTGAAATGACGTCTGAAAACCTCTGACCTGTTGACTTCAGGCCTGCCTATGCCCATTATGTAGTTTTTTAAGGTGTAGTGCAGGGAAATATGATCCGCCGTGAACACTATGTATTTTATTTTGAAAATTAACCGGATGTTTTATTGTGTTTCTGTGCACGAGTTCCTGCCCCGCACGATCTGCTCTGTGCTGAATTGCTGCGTTGTGCTCCGGCGTCCGGCAAAAATAGAAGTCCTGCGTATCTGTTGCGGAGGGCTCCGGAGTGCCGGAGCTGAGACGGAGCCGGAACGCAGCACAGCCGCAGCTGGTGGAAACAAACACATTGACTAGAATGGAATCCTATCGGCTCCGCTGCCGTGCCGGAGCGCAGACGCAACCAACACGCATCTGGTGGAAATTGGCCTTTACAGTGCCGCAGCGTGCCACCGTGCCGTGAGGACAAGCAGCAGCAGAGACAAACGGCAGACATGATGGAGGCAAGCAGGAGACACAACAGGAGACAAAGCAGCAGCGGCGACAAAGCAGCAGCGGCCCGATAAGCTGGCTACAGTTAGCACCTAACCAAGAAAAATGCTATTAGCATGGCTAAATACACTGAACATGATGCGGTGCGTGCTACAATACACATAACATACCTTTTCCGCAGCGCGGGCACACACACACTCACACGAGAGGAGGGAGGGGGAGAGAGGGCTCCATGCAGCCACCAGCGTTTACCTGCGACCACACTAGCATTAGCCACCTGATAGCATCAACTATACTACAAAGAGAGAGGACACTTACCACAGCCAACAAACGCAGCAGCGCATACGGGGGGGCCAGAGCAGCACACAGGCAGTCGCCCTACAACACAACACCAATGCCTTAAGCACGTGGGCAAACAAACAACCAGCGAGGTGAAGCAGCATGCAGCCATACCTGTCGGACCAGACGACCTCCGACCCAGAAGTGACGCAGAGGCGACGATAGGAGCGCAAAGGAAGAACCAGTGGGAGGACTGCCGCTTTTATACCGGCCCACCTCATTGGCGGCCCCCAGCGGCGCACATTGTAAACAATGACAATAAGCACCTCTATGCTGCTACATAATCATCATAATTATGTTGTTTTTGAACGCACTTTGTCCTTCTAAGAGTCTGAAAAGCATTCTTACAGCATACATATAGTCATGTATGGATTACTGAATGGGCCTACCCCGCACAGGCCCAGGGACCCAAAGTGTCAGGGGCCCCTCTGGCCTTCATTTGCAAAATGTCACTCAAATTTACACGTACTGACCAGGAAGAGACTCAAAATGACCACACAAAGATGCTGATGAACTTTAAAGAGACACAACAAAGTACAAAAAGAGATAAAACAACAACAAACAGTTCTGGCAGCTCTGCACCTAAATGACCAACTTCTTCTGCATATTTACCATGGACTGATTTTTACAGACAAAGGAAATGATGTCTGTCTGCTGTGATTGGTTGGTCCTTATCACATGACATGCAGTGCTGCGTTCCAAATGTTGAGCTCAGTTCATCTCAGGGTGCAGCTGTGTACCCTGAAAAGTAGGCACTCGGGAATTTGTGCTCACTGCGACAGTATCGCCCTGGTGTTTGAGCGCGCCTGCATTGAAAACAATTCATTTGAGGGTGCAAAAAAGGCAGCATGTGTACGGCCCCTTAGGTTATAAAGGAGAATAGGATTTAAAGCTTTCTTTTTTAATAACAAATGACAAAAAAAATAAAATAAAAAAAAAATTGACCTTTAAAGGAAAACACACCTTCAAAACCTGTGGGTTTGAAAAGGATGTTTTCATAAAAAAATCTCCAATTAAATACAACCACATACAACCATTTAAATTTGAATGTAGTTTTGTTGGTAACATTCACAACGTTTCACCATAGAAACGCAAAAATAACCGTAAAAGTATGTAAAGAACTGAACCAAACGATGCTAAAGAGTATAGTAAAAAAACAAAACAAAAAAAACAACAAGTGTGACAAATATTGAAAGTGAAGATGAAAAATAGAAAACAGAGGTTTGCCAGAATACACTTACTATTGAAAGGCATACACACAGTCAGTCATTTGTCTCTGCACAGAACTAAATGAATGTGTACACAGAGTCACTGTTGAGACTTCCATTTACTAGAAGAATTATGTTTGAACGGCAATCTATAAAAGTGACACATGGAGAAGAATGGAGAATTGTGTATGGGTCCATTAGGCTTACAGGCTCTTAAAAACCAAAGCGAGATGTGATCAAACTAAAATATGTGGCTCAGGATGTCTGACTAATGATCACTGTTGTCCTCTGCATACTGAAAGCACCTCTTTGTCTCTGTTTCTTGTTTTTCTCTCTTTCTACCTCTCCCTTCTCTCTCTGTTTCAATCTTTCACCTTGTTTTCTTCCTCTCTGGCAGTGTGAGTGTCTGTTTATCAATCTGCTCACTCACACGAGACACTGCTCACCCGGCCAACTGCGGCCACTGTCAACAATAAAATCCAAATTTAATAACCGCAGCACCTCATGAGCCAACTGTGCCAGCTCACTGACTGCTCTAGTGTCATAAAAGTGTCACAAAGAAAAGGAGACAATAAGGCTTTTATGTGTGCATTTTTTAACAGCAATGCATTAAATGGAATTCATCATAGACATAGAAGTAACATTTTGTTTAGTAGTTTGTAAATAAGAGACTACTGATTCATCATATATCTTTGCAGGCAAGAGGTCTGCTTTTAAGACAAGTATCACTTTATGGGGGTGGGAGAAGGTTCCTGGTTCAATCCCAGGAGGGAGCCCTTCTGTGCAGAGTTTGCTTGTTCTCCCTGTGTCAGCATAGGTTCTCTCCAGGTACTCCGGCTTCTTCCCACAGTCTAAAGACATGTAGGTTGGGGATAGGTTAATTGCTGACTTTTGGCCATAGGTGTGAATGGTTGTCTGTCTCTATGTGTCAGCCCTGTGATAGTCTGGTGACCTGTCCAGGGTGTACCCTGCCTCTTGTCCAATGTCAGCTGGTATGGCTCCAGCCCCCCTGTGATCCTCAAGAGGATAAGTGGTTACGGAAATGATTGACTCACTTTATGGCAAAAGCAAACATTCCTAAAAAATCCTCATAGTAACCTCAACTGCAATATGGCCCTTATGTAAAACATGCCTGTGTCATATCCAGGCCCTTGTTTCTGTTTGACAAATGTGTTCATTGAATTTTCACATACAGTGGCATGCAAAAGTTGGGGCACCCCATGGTCAAAATTTAGTTTAATGTGAATAGCTAAGCAAGTAAATGACGAGGCATGAAAGTAAAGGTGACACATTTCTTCAATATTTTAAGCAAGATTACATTTTTATTTCAATCTATTACAGTTTCAAACTAACAAAAAAGGCAAAGGTCCTGAAGCTAAAGTTTGGGCACCCTGAATGGTCAGTGCTTAGTAGTGCCCCCTTTTGCAAGTATCACAGCTTCTAAACACTTTTTGTAACCAGCTAAGAGTCTTTCAATTCCTGGCTTGGGGGATTTTCACCAATTCTTCCTGCAAAAGGCTTCTGGCTCTGTGAGATTTTTGGGCCACCTTGCATGCACTGCGCTTTTAAGGTCAGTCCATAGATTCTTAATGATGTTTAGGTCAAAGGACTGTGAGGGCCATGGCAAAACCTTTAGCTTCCCTCTACTTGTGAAATGTTCCCCGTGCCACTGGCTGCAACACAAGCCCAAAGCATGATCGATCCACACGTGTTTAACAGTTGGAGTTTCTCATTTGGAGATACTTAAAAAGTGCGCTGAATCACTTACAAACTTTTGTTTTATTTCTTCAAAACTTGTAGAAAAGATTTCCACACACTTATGTCTATGCAGTGTTTCACTTCTTAACTTTTTTATCGATGTTTCCAGCACCTTGCCAGAACTAAGCTGGGAGGAGCAGTGGCTGTCCTGCACATCTTCAAAACTTAAAAGATTATTATTACTGTATAAATCTGTGACTTTGCTAATAACCTTGTCTGCTCAAATCTTGAAGTCCAAGTCAGTATGCCTGGTGTAAAGGGGTTTTCTCCCCAGATTGGTGAAAATTGGGATAATGGAGGTACTGTTTTTTTTCAGTCTGGATACTTTTGCTGAATGTAGATACAGATTTGGAGGTTTCTTGGAGGTTGTGCCCCCCCCCATCCATATCCAAGGCATGGGTGACTTGTGCTCAAACCAGAAAGAGACTGCCCATAACTGACCAGCCTAATAGTATCCCTGGAGGTTAGGGAGTTTTAACCCCCTCTGTTGTACAGCAAGGTTAAGGGAAGCCTTCAGCCCCTACTATTCTGAAACAGCTCATTCATTCTGTTAAAAAAATGTGTCAGAGGGACAATAGAAATGGTCTGAAAGAGATAAAGAAACTTACGAAGAATGTTCATTTTAAGAATGTCATGTTACGTCCAGTCATGAATAGCTGTCCATCAGATTTTACAGCTGATTCGGTCATTGGATTATAGTTTGTAGACATGACAGCTTTAATTGCAGTGAAATACACAAAGCTTTCCAAAACATTTCTTAAAAAAGTATGCAATGGGTGAGGCATTTTATAACCTGATAAGCTTCCATGTGTTTAAAATAAATCTAAGAAAGTGTTTTAAAAAGTCAGAAAAAGCACAGTGTCATTGGTAAACATTTATATTTTGTTTTCAAAATCATTAACTTTAATACCTGCTATTCTCCAGTTGTCTCTAATTCCAATAGCTAAGGGCTCAATGGCGAGAGCAAAAAGTAATGGTTACAAGGAGCACCCTTGTTGTGTGTCTCTGGAAAAAGAAAACTGTTCAGATAACATGTTGTTCATAACTGATGCCTTTGAATCATAATATAACATTTTGATGCAGCTGAGTAAATAACTACCAATTCCAAAATGACTGAGCACTCCAAATAATCATGTTCACTCCTATAGAGGGTATTATCAGCATTAAGACCTATCAGGAATCTGATGCTTCTTTATTTGTGTGTATGATGTTCAGCGCTCTTCATATATATTATGCAAATTAATGTTTGTGCGTTAATCTGTTTGTCAGCAAGATTACCGAAAAATTGCTGGCCCAGTTTTCACAAAACTTGGTGAAAGGATATAGCATGGGCCAGGAAGAACCTATTACATTTTGAAGTAGATCCACATGAGAGGTTAAATACACAAATTGTTTTTCACCTTGCAAAATACTATAAGTCATTCATAGTCTGGACTTGGACTGCACACACGTCTTACCTTGGACGTCACATGCAAAAAATGGAGGTGGCAGAGCCAAAATGGTGGCTAGTAGTGCAGTGCTAACAGAAAGAGTGCTGACAGAGCTAACTGTGTCAATCAAGGTTAGAGCACAGTCACCAGGGCGACCAGAAGGTTGGCATTAGGTTTCAGCAACGAGGCTGTACTGCCACAATGAGTCAGGATGGTGTTATCAGCAGTGCTAACAGCCAAATGAAAAGCACCATTAATCAGTGATACGTTTGTTTTATTGTTAGATGGTATGACTTGCTAGATTACAGAGAAACATGTTTTAATGTAATGTAGAATATGTTGTTAAACATGTGAGGTTACTTGATTCCTGTATATTTCAACCTCTGTGAATCTTTATATTGGTTGCTACTGTACATATGTGATGTGTGAAACATTAAGTTGGATAAAATAAATGAGTACGGCAGAGCAACACAGTTGTTTTACTGTCAGTCCGTTAGCATTGCTGCCAAGCTCTCCATGTAAGGCAGTCTTCTGTTGTCATTAAGACGTGGTTATGTATAGAAGTGAATTAAGACGAAGAGAAAACATGCAGACTAAAAACAGTGCTGACA